ATGCGTAATATTTACATGTAAAACATCACCCTTTTATCTCTTGTAAACATGTTGTAACAATTTCTACAGTTTATAGCAAAGTATTTGTACATTTATACGTTTATAAAGTGTTTGTTTGCACCGCGCTACGTTCTGCTCATTGATTTCAATAGTTAGCGTTAGCATAGCTCAATGCATAAAAATCCCCCATGTGAAGCCACGCCCAGGTCATGTGACACCCAATCCAGTCATATATATATCAATGTTAACCTGGGATCTATTTAATGTGAACAGCACCTCTGAAGGTGTAAAACTAATAAATATATCTGTTAGTTTTTCACATGATATTTGAGACTTTGAAGACTGAACAGGCTGCACACAAATAAACACACAGTCAACCACCCGCAGACACACAAGTGTCACAAAAATAGACCAAACGTTATGAACTTTTACCCATCMTGGTTGTTTCCCTCTCCTCCCCTCTGTAGCAGGTTTTATTTGTGTCAGAGGTCACAGAGGAAGGACTGTTCACAGGCAGGAAATGTGTATTTTACATTCAGAAGTGTGTTTTTTTTCTCGTAGAGGACAGGAAACACTGATTGTGCTGCTTGTTTCTGAAGAGTCCTGCTCTAACATGGCCGTGTGTCKGAGCTCTGTACAGACGGTCTTATTGACGCTTGTTTTCTCCTCTCCAGGACACCATCAACAACGTGAAGTCTCGGCTGGGCAAAAGCTCGCAGATCCAGGCGGTGCTGCGGGCTTTTGAAGCTCGCGACCGAAACATCCAGGAGAGTAACTTTGACAGGGTGAACTTCTGGTCTGTGGTCAACCTGTGTGTGATGCTGCTGGTGTCGGCTGTTCAGGTCTATCTGCTCCGCTCGTTGTTCACAGACAAAAGGAAAATTCGCACGTAACGCTACATGTATTGTAAGGACAAGAAACTATAATGTTACAAATAATGTTTGTTTTTCAGGTTTTCTTTCCTAATGTTTCACACACAAAATCTGCATTAATACAGACACAGTTCTTATTGTCAGTCCTATCAGTCCCTCTACTCTTCATTCATTATATCTCTTTATCTAGARTTGTACTTTTTATACAATCCTTTCTACCTGCTCAAGTTGTTTACTAAAACACTGCAAAAACTGTCCACCTAACCAAGTTTTAAAATCTTATATCAGACAAAAAGTCTTTTTGATCTTGTCTAAACAAGAACTGATTGTGTAAGAATAATCATCTTGTTTTCAGACTGATTTACTAAACAAGACTGATTGTGTAAGAATAATCATTTTGTTTTCAGAATGTGTAAGATTATTTGTCTTGTT